CTACTACTACTACGACCACCACTACCGACCACGGCACTGTTGCCGCTACTATGGTGATTGCTGGAAGCGCTCTTCCACGCCCATATGTACTAAATGACTCTCGGGGTGGTTTGATGCTGTTTGCCGTGGGATGGTATCGGTTGATGTTAGCTGTTGGAGATTGGCTGTGGCTCGCCGGCTCGGTGCCTCCCTTGATGCTTGTGTAATTGCCCAGGTGGGTTCAGCTGTTGATTGTTAAGTTCAGCTTTTCTTGATTACTATGTTCGTGGCGATGAGTGCTCGGGTATCAGTGCTTATCGTGCCCTCATCAGCGTTAGCATCACCATCTGATCACGGTCGCTGTTCGTGAGGACTGCTACGGTGTCGAAGGGCAAGGAGGCCATGTGGATCTTTTGTCCGCACGCAGCAGAGCTTGGTCAGGGGCTTACCTCCGGCAGGCAGTGCCTGGACTGGCTCAGGTGACTGTCTTCTTTGAGATGGGCCCTCCGGAATGATCCCTGGATAATGCCGGTATTCAGCCTTCAAGGGTAAGCTACGGCTCAAGATAAAGGCTCATGCAGCACCCCTTTAAGATGCCCAAATTACGAAACCGACCCTCCCTGCGTGGTTGCAGGGCTGGCACACAAAAGTTTCGAGCGAATTCTGCATCAAAAGTAAGAAACCCTAAACCCTAAGCGCCCCTAAACCCCGTACCCTAAATCGTCAAATGTGCGAACCTTCCTTCTCAGCTTCTGCTTCTTCGGCCTGCAGCTGGGCCTCTGGAGGAAGGCTGCATAGTAGTCGTTGTAGTGGAAGGGGTTGGAGCAGGTGTGGGAGCAGTAAGTAGCAGTAGTAGTAGTAGTAGTAGTAGTAGTAGTAGTAGTAGTAGTGGTAGTAGTAGTAGTAGTAGTTGTTGTTGTTGTGGTCGTAGTTGCAGTAGTGGTACTTGTGGGAGTAATGGCAGTCGTGGTAGTAGTGGTGACAGTAGTCGTAGTGGTCGTCGTGGTGGTGGTCGCGCTCGCGGTCACAGAGGCGTTGGCGGGCTGGTGGTGGCGGTGGTGGTGGTGGTGGTGGCGGCGGCAGCGGTGGTGGGTGTTGGATACTATGTGCAAGTGGTGGCGTTGGCAGCGGTAGTGGTGGAATGGTGTGAAGGAGGAAGTAGTGGTGGAGGAGCATGTTGGTGGTGGGGGATTGTTGTGATACTATGTGCTAGTGGTGGCGCTGGCAGCGGTAGTGGTGGAATGGGGTGAAGGAGGAAGTAACGGTGGAGGAGCATGTTGGTGGTAGGGGATTGTTGTGATACTATGGTGGCGTTGGCAGCGGGAGTGGTGGAATGGTGTGAAGGAGGAAGTGGTGGTGGAGGAGCATGTTGGTGGTGGGGGATGAATTAGGTGGTGGATGTGCTGGAGGTGCTACAAGTGGGGCGTGTCGGGCTGTCGGCGCTGCTGCACCGCAGAGTCCGGACGAGTCGACAAGCATGAACCACAGACAACGTGCAACCCTCTTGGCCTTCAAGCGGCGCATGTCCGCCGGATACGACTTGTGAAGCAGGCTGTAGAGGGCAAAGGTCACCAGCCAAGGGATGCAGATGGTGGCCTGATTCGGGGGCTTTGAACAAAGTCGAACTGTGGGGTCTTCATGGGGTCCACTGAGGCATCGGCGGCCATGGCTTGGCCCAGGGCGGTGGCGGCCGAAAGGGACTTCCCCTCGGCCTCTTCTTCGCCAAAGGTGTAGCCAAACATCATCGCCAGCTTGGCCACAAAAACTGGGCCAATCAAAGTGGCAATGGAGTTCTCCAAGGCACACTCCCAAGCCATGACTTTGCCTCGGCTTGGACATAGCTTTCAACTCAAAACACACCACCGGCATGAGGGTCAGAAGCTGCGGAAAGGATGCAGCCAAGTAGCTTCGGTGCTTCGGTGGCACGATATCCGAGAGAATTGGGAAGTTGGTTCCGGACTGTGCCCAGTTGCCAAGCAAGCTAAAGGCAGCAATGATAGTGAAGTACACTCCTCGTTGCTGTGGCAAGGTACGGGCTTAGCATTGTTGGAAGGAAGATGTGCTTGGGTGAGCCCAAATGCACAAGAACGACATTGGGGTGCCGGGGCTCTTTGCAAAAATACCCCCACCCCAACACAGCAGTGCATGGTTGAGTCTCCAAAGGTGCTCGCAGGAGATCCAGGCGGGATGCCCAGGAACCACAGGTAAATCAGGGGGATGCCAATGGCCACTGTAATCTGTGCCTTGGCGAACACATCCCATCACTTGCTTCAAACTCTCTGTGCGAAGGCAGTCTGACCTCGAAACCTTTGCAGTTCTCCGGCTGGGTGCTAGTAAAATTCAAAACGCGACACGCGGCCTGCCACGGTTCCAGCAGCTTCAGCACCCGTGATACAAGCATTTAAAATTAGGGCTTCATAAGGTTGATATGCGATATGCGATGACTTTTTGCATTCCTACATACGAATTATATTGTTGGCTGTCTTACTGTAAAGGGTGAATGTCTCCCCGAACTCACGACCGAGCTCCATGCACTCAGCGGCCGCCCATGGTAGCCCAGGCGGGCGGCCAGGCAGTCGGCCACCACTCCGCCGATCAGATTTCCGAAGACGCCCACGATGGTGCCTTAGACGATCTTATTATCAGTAGTTTTATTGTAGATATTTTCATTGTAAATACTAAGTTACTATCACCACTAGAGCTAATTACTAGAACTACTACGACGACGACGACCACGATCATGAACATCATTAATTTTCATCATAATTATCATTACTGTTCTTGTTCTCTGATTACTATTGCTAAGGCTTCTTCTCGTTCTTGTTCTCATTATTGCCTTTATCACTGTTATCATTTATTCGTACTCTGTGGGGGTTCAGGTTCGAGCTCTGAGCTCCGAGACCCCTCTTAGTAGGGGGAGTCTGCCTGGGGCCCGTGCCCTCGGATGCCAGGATGGATCCTTGCCAGTCTTCGAGCCCGGAAAGCTTGAAGAAGAGCAAGTTGTTGCCCATAACCTGAAAGTCCACATGATTCAATGCTGAGGCTTGTGCCCCTGAAAGCTGCAAGAAGGTAGCCGTCCACGGAATGGTGCCAAATATTCCCTGCCTCAGCTGCCAGGCTTGTGGTGCCCAGTTCCAACCTTCAGCTGGGCCTCTGTTTCCCAAAACCCTACACTTTTAAACCGTTCTTGGATCATCATCTGCCGAGGTTCACAACCATGATGCAGAAAGTGGGGATGCAGAGGAAGCCCAGCAGCGCGCGCAGCTCCTCTGCCACGGCCTGGCAGCCCTTCTTGTCAGCCGATTCGTCCAGCTGTTTGGGCGGCTCCACCTTTAGGGGCCGGAAGGCAGAAAGTGGTTGCTGTTCCTACAGGCGTACACAATACTCAAATGTCACGACCGGCTAGAAAATCCTGCTTGCACACAAAACCCCTATTGAGTTCTTACCGCATTCGTCGAGGCACCATGAGCATGCACACCAGCACGCCGATGCATGCAGCAGTGCATCCTGCAAGCAAGAAGACAAAGCGCCACCCAGGCATCTCGCCCAAACTGATGTTGGCCACGTTGCCGGCTATCCTTATCTGATGCACTTCGCAAAGCTGTTTCTTCCAAAGCTTGATTCTTCGCAAACAGACGGGCTGCAGCTGGAACACCTTCAAACCAACGTATACCGCTGTAAAGAAACACGGACGGCAGAGGTGCATCCCCTACATTTTGGAACCAGCAAGTTGTCACCCACATCTTGGTTTCTGTCACTGGCACTGACTACATTCTGAACATCTGTTGTCCCAGTATCAGTACCTGACAACACCTGCCTAATACAAACACCCGTGGACGCCCTAAAAGTCAGCGCGGAGAAGCTGACTTGGAAAGTTCCTCAACAGCAAAGCACGTGACAGGCTGCATGAAGTGTCAACGATGAATGTGCTGGGGAAACACGTCGGGGCTGGATCCCCGTCGAAGCCGTGTTGCAAACTGTCGAAGGTTCGGATCGGTCAGTAACAAACCTCCTGAGGCTCCGAATCTCCCTGGACAAAATCGGAATTCAAGGAAGCGAAGCCAGGCGACTATGAAAGGCAGGGAGATGCAAGGAGTTGCTAAACTTTAAATGGTCAAGATGTGCCAAGGAACAGTGTGGTGCAGCACATACCAACAAGCAGGGAGCTCTGCACCAGGGAAAACATCTTTCCGCGCCGATCATCCGACGTCATGTCTGCGATGATGCCGTTCACCACGGGCCTGTTGTGAAGCTGTATGCTCCCACCGGCCGGAGTGTAGTCTTTGGGGACCTACCTGAAATTAAATGTGGTCTCTGACATGCCCTAGTATTCCAAGAAAGGCTGTCTGATCAGTGCTTGCAGCTTTCACACCGGCTCTTGCCTAAGGGAGGCGAGGAAGAAGCCGCTCATGCCCCGCAAGATCACCATGACCAGAAAGTTGGGCACCATGGACATGAAACCAGCCTCGCTTTGGCTCCGCGAACACATCATCTCACCGAGAAGCAAGTGTAGAAAGGTGGTTTAATAGTTTAGGTTGCGCGTCTCAACACCCATAACTCCCCCGGAGCCGTAAACGCGGAAACCCTAAGCTTTAGTTCGTGATGCATGCTGCCATCGTTTTGGCTGCCGGTCTCAGGCTGCAAGCCTTCGGGGGTTTAGGGCCTCGAGCCAGGGGACGAAAGTGTTTCGGGAGGGTTCCCAGAGACTCCATTACCCCTTAACTAAGGAATATACCTTAAATCATATTAGGGATCCTACTATAGTTTAAGGTATACTCCTTCATTAAGGGGTATTGGAGTCTCTGGGTTGCATGTATGTGGCTTCATTCTGAACAGCGGCTAGAAACCGAAACCCGGCAATGAGTCAAAAGGCCTCGGCGCAGCCAAGCGGCTGCGCAGCCTTCTCCAAGAGCACCCAAAAGTATAATATGCTTTCTCTTCAATGTACCTTTGCTGGTTTCAAAAGTCCAGCTCGAGTGTGCAGCCTCCCAAGCTCCCACTACTTCTACCACTATGCTACATGGCCAACTCACAGGGGCAGGATAACGTGTCGTGCGTCGCGTAAAGCTCCGTAATCCTCCGAGGCACCTCTGTCTGCGAGTATGCCCCAGAAAGGAGCAGCCAAGTTCGTCAGCACCATTTGAACGGTGTTCAAGATCGCCTGAGCTCAGGCGACACGCCGAAGGAACCTAATCTGCCAGGCCCCCCGTGGGATATGGGGTCAAAGGGCGAGGGGAAGAAGAGTCGACTTCTTGTCATTTCACTCAGATCACTGAATCCTACAGCTTCAGCTCACGTACCGCAGCTGCGCCACAACGTCTGTCAGGGTCATGATGTTCTTCTGAAGCTGGAACATGCAAGCAGGCACCAGCTGAGAATCAATACCTGACAGGTCTGCAATATACTGTCTAAACAAGCCGACTAGCAAGGAAACTCTCAAGCTCCAACTCACCTTCGATCGCGGACGCCAAGCATAGGCACCTTGGGCTGGAACAGCAACTCGGGATAAACTCCCTAGTCTTTGAACTCAGCTGAGTCCCTCATGTCCGCGTGTGTGTTTCTCCGCAAGTGTATGTACATGCACACACTCTATCTATATATATATAATGTTATGTGTATATATATATATATATAGATCTCTATATATACATGTACATATATATATATATACATACATGTATACATACATGCATACATACATACATACATACATACATACATACATACATACGTACGTACGTACGTACGTACGTACGTACGTACATATATATCTATAT